CCTCGAGGGCCATGGTCATACAGGTTTTTAATCTTTCCAGGCTTTAGAACAGGCGATTCAGATGATTTCTGTTCAGTTAAAGCCTGTAAATCCGCTATCAATGGAAATTAGCTGTGCTGAAGCAGAGAAACCTGTAAAACCTTCAAGCTGCAGGGCAACTTTGGCCATGGTGGACCAAATTTGAGGTTTATAGCTGGTCTAACAAATTACAAAGACTTCAATCAACACAGCAACGCTATACATACAGCCAGAGATACAATGGAACGGTTTACAACCACCCAATCTGACTAAGCCTGACCTATTTTGGCCAATTATTATTTTATAGATTAGGAAAACACACCCCAAACAGCAGCCTACCCACAATTGCTATAAGATATATTGTGCAAGAAACAGAATTTACAAGTATTCAGTTAGATTTTGTATCTAAGTACCTTGCCAGTTGTTTTTTGCTGGCAAGAAGTGACAGACAACACAATGAACGTCGCTGTCGACTGCTTACAGGTCTGCAGGTGCCTGGACAGTGGGATAACTAGTTAAATTCATTATTTCTTTTATGAGTTCTTCCATTGCTCTGCTCCTAAGGCTGCTATGGATTAATTTTCCTTATCTCCACAGTTATGTGGCACTTTCCCTTAAGTCAAAATAAAAGTCAAATAAAATTGTAATAAAATACACTGAAGTTTGTGCTGGAAGTATGGCATGATGTTACTGTTACAAAGTTTCGAAGATATGAACAGTAGAACTCACTGTAGAGATTAATCTGTTTTTTTTTATTAATTGCCAGACAAAATATTAATGATGACTATCATTAAGTAATAACACCTACGGCTTAACTTTTCATATAATGTTTCTGACTGATTTTGTCTCCTTTTTGACTGCATTTGCTCAAACACAGCTGCTCCGGAAGTTACTTTAACTTGACTGGTTGAGTTTGGTGACCTAAACAACAATTTCCAATAGGTTCATGTTCCACTTTGTCAAAATGAACAAGGACATTAATTCGATTGAACTCATCCTTTTTCTATAACAAGTCCTTAGCATTAATCATCTCCTTCTCCTCTTGTTTTAATGTCTTAAGTTGAGAAAATTGGAGTTTATGTCAAATACTTGATGCCAATAATGGCTCGGCTAATCAACTGATGAGGAACAGGTGTGGATGGAAGCATCTAGAAGGGAGCTAGCGGAAGGAGACTGACACAAGGGAGAAACAGAGGGTAGAGAAGAAATACATAGAATACAGGCGAGACAGACAGTGATTATTTAAAAGACTTTTATTGAAAGAGAGGCAGAGCTTTGGATCTGCTGTAAGATGATTATTCATGGAAGTCGCTTACCTGGTTTATTAGCCAAGCTATATTAGCCGGAGGATCCCCTTAGTGTCCCCAATTCTTCAGTCCCGGATGGCAAGCATGAGTCCAAGTCAGGTCAGGGAAACAAATCCAAACAGGAAGGCTCAGAGGTCCAGGAGTCCGTAGAGCGATCAGGGATTCCGATCAAAAGAGGAACAGGCTGGTTATGGGTTCCAGGAGTCCAACCGAGAGTTCAGGCAGAACATTCAGATGGGAACAGGTAAGCACTGTGGTTGAGAGGCAGAAGAGAGCAGGATATCAGGAACAATACGGCAAGCTAAAAACCTGCTCTCTCCACTGAGCCAAGGCAGAAACTGGGCACGCTCAGTGGATAAGAGGCAGATCAGGATCAGGAAACCAGGAACACGGCGAAAACTCTAAACCCTCTCTGGCCCCCGAGAACGAGAAAAGGAACTATAGCATCATCAACAACATCAATAATCTCAATGATCTGGCCCCGATAGCTTGGACTCAGCCATATATAAAGAAGCAGGAGCAGGTGAATAAGATAAGTGGTAATTGGAAACCGGGCAGTTAGACAGGTGAATGAAAGCAATTAGGCCAGCCCTTAGAGCCATGATGACTCATAGAGCCCAAATAAGACCAGAAAACAACACAAAATGGAAGTGAAACATATGAAAACTCAAAAAGAAAACTTAAACAGAACCAAAAAGTGCAAAACTCTGACATGAGTGTGGCCAGCAGGGAAAATACACATAAAGGTTGAGGAGATTCCTGAAAAGTATAATATTTTAGTATGCCTGTAAATTCTGATATTAGGCATAGATGACGATGCTGCGAGATCATGATGCCTCCTAGATGTGGGACTGAGGTATCCCTGCTCATCATTGATAGGGTTTTATGTAAAGCGTTACTGATGATTTAATTTAGATTTTACATTACATTGTTTAAATTACTAAGACAATTGTCATATAAGACTCTGAATAATGAAACCTGTCAAAACCCTCTCAGCCCTTATTGAAACAGGGATTGTCAAATCATGAATAAATTTGTTAAATCATTGAAAAGATCAACAAACCATGTTTAAGTCATTAGAGCCCAGAGGTGGGTAGTAACTACTCACATTTACCCCGATACATTTACTTGGGTAACGTTTTGGAAAAAAAGTACTTTTAGAAGTAGCTGTTCTACATTGTACTTTTTACTCTTACAATAGTAAAAATTCTAGCTACCCATCATGAATAACTTCACTTAATAAACACAAGCTAGTTTAAGCAATGATGCACCAGAAAGACACACACCTACTTATTTTTTTGTACTTATGGGTTTGATATTATTTTTCATTGGCTGACTCAGCCATCCCATGAAGAGGTTGAGTAGGAATACAGTAAACAGCTTACTGTAATTTACCCTATTCTAACATACTCTATTAGTTATAGTTTTATAGTTTTATAAAAAAAAATATATAATAATGCATTTTGAAGTATTCCTTTAATATAAATTGGTATTGTGTAATTATTGTGTTGTTATTTTTTCATCTCATTCTTTGAAACATCACAATTTGCATATACATTTATATTTTATGTAAAATGTTAAATCAGATATTATGATCATGAGTAGTAAGTAGATCAGTTACTCCTTAACTAAGTAGCCTTTTTACTAAATATTTGTTTTACTCTTAAGTTATTTCTTGGATTGAAACTTCTTACTTTTTTCAAGTAAAAATGTTAGGAAGTACTGCTTTTCCGACACAAGTACAAATTTTAGGTACTCTGCCCATCTCTGTTAGAGCCAGAATTGCCGAATCGTGAAATCTGTTTAAGAAATTGAATAAATGAGAAACAAAGTATTGGCCCACAAAACAAAATACAAAAACAAAACACATCTCAGGTTTGGGCAGAAAAAAAGACCTTTGAAAAAACATTCACTGACAAGGGTGGTATAACAAACGGAAGCTGTGCTCTCTATTACATTTTTTTCTAAGAAATTTAGAAAAAGAGCATATCATCAGTGAAACATCTTGGCAGGTGTTTGGGACACTTTTTTACTAGAGGATGAGCTTTAAATTGAGGAAAATATAAAAAAATAATAACCTGACGAATATCCAGGCCATCAGTTTGTGACCTTAAGCTCTACTGAACTTGTGTTATGCTACAGCATATCAGCAGATCCACTTCAGAATGGGTGGAAAAAAACTAAGGCGTTGGAGTAGCCTGGTCAAAGTTCTAACTCAAATCTGATTACAGTACTTCGTATAACCATAAAGATTAATTTTTATTAAAAAATTATTTGGCTCAAAGAAAACAATTATGCTAAAGGAGTGAAAAGAACAACTATCGTTTTAGGGAGCAATTAGTTTTTCATAAGGACAAGTTTATTTTCAAATGGCTTTTTCCATTGTTAACTGTTTTATCATCATTTGAATACTGCAATTTTGTATGCACTTAGCTACCTGAGGTGTGTACCTTAATTACATAAGGTAACTTAGACAGTACAATTGATAAACTGTGATAAAATCCCTAACAAAGTACAAATAAGCATTGATTTCAGCTAATTTTATGTGAAACATATGACTTTGTTTTTTTGGCATTTAAGATGTTTAATGTTATAGTGGAGGATTTTCCTGAATTTTTTAAAGAGACCCTCCTTTTCCACTTGCAAATAATAATGCACGTGCACAACCCTTTACTCGTGTTCCCTCTCGGGAGCGGGTACAAGGAACATCTTAAACGTGTGCGAGAGCTTGCACAAGCCCATTTCTCATCGTTCACACTGTTTAAAAGTTACTGGTTGCATAACTCATACATGCTTACTTTCCAAAGAAGATTTCCATTTTTTCTACTATTTTAGACTCACCACCGGTAAGTGAAAATAAGGACGAGCACCTAGGACGGCCTTACATAAACATATCACCAGAATGATTGGCAATTAGGAGGACCACTTATTTTGATGATCCACCTGGAAAAAGAATATCCTCCACTATACTTTTAAAGTACAAATCAGTTGGAAATAACTACAAGGAGGGTGAAATAGTTCTAAATTAATCAGGAGAAGAGGCGTACGTTCCTCACTACAGAAGGCCCAAAAATAGCAATTGGATTCGTCTTTTACAGTTCACTTTGATGCTTTTCCTCTGTCATATATTGTGATTTTATTATTCAAATAAATTGATGCCATGCTCTGTTAACATTCAGACATTACAAAAAGTCTTTGCAGAGTTTTAACAAAGATAATTAAATTGACTGCTTTTTTTTGTATAGAATGTCAACTCATTAATTGTAGGTATTATATTTATTTGTTTCTTATTCTTAGCTTAGAAATGTCATAGCTTGTCTGGGGATACGATTATTCTCACCTAAGCATTCTATTTTTAAATCGGATTACATTAACGGCATTGGTGAACAACTCATCCAGTTTGGTTATTTCTCGCTCCAGAGCAGCTGCTGTTGTAAACACCTGAGACCAGCCTTCCGGTCTCTGTCAGAAAATATTCAGTGCATGCTCTCACCATAAAGAATGTTGCTGTTGCTCTGTTTCACTCCTGTCTTCTGTCTTGTCTTGGTTCAATCGGCCGGCTCGGATTTGGATCGTTGCCTGCCTCCGTGCCTGCCTGCCTGCCTGTGTGTGTTCATGTCCTGCACAACCACCACCTTCTCCACCGACACGTTTTGTCGTCCCTCTCATCTGAAGGCTATGAGAAATCCCGGAGCTTAACGAACATTGCTGGCATAGCTGGTAACACCCTGAGGTTGTCTCCTGTGAACTCACCCTACGGATCACCCTGCCCACTACGCCGCTCTCGCTCCCCTATCCCATCCATCCTGTGAGGCCTCCAGCCCATGGTTGCTCAACATGCTCCCCCTAAAAGAACATGCTTCCTTCACATTGTGTCTGAAATCTACATAATAATGAGACTAGAACAAACATTGCTGACATTGCAGCAGAGACTAATGTTCATAGGCTGGCAATCTTAGCGGAAGGAACGTGTGTTAACATCCTTAAGTAACATGATTGTTCTGCTTTGTCACTTGGAGTTCTCTTTAGTTCAATGGCTTTGTAATTTTGGACATGCAATAAAGGAGCCCTGACTGAAGTAGCAGCCATAAACACATGGAACTATATTACTAATCAGGGATATTAGATGTCGCTATATTTAGAAAATCATCAACAAAGATGTGCTTCCAGGAACAAAAAAAAAGAGAGATGTCACAGCATTTAAAACCAGACATGACTGTAAGTTTGTTTTTATGATTTAAGTTTTATTTTGGGGTTTGAAATGTGATCGATGGGTGTAAAGACACCAAGGGTGTAGGAGTTTCAGACCGAACCAGCACAGAGAGCTGGGACTGCTCATTTTTGAGCATTGATCTAATTTTGCAAATCAAACAAAGCTGGGAAAATGGCTGGAAAAAGATTGGGCATCTATATGCACATATATACTGCTTTTTTGTTTTGTTTTTCGGTTGTTGTTTTTTTTTATGATGTTGGGTTTATGTAATAGTTTTCTTTCTTTCCACTGAGTGCCACCAAACTTGCTGTGTTTCTAATTGTTTACTGGCAGATAACTGCAAAGAGGTGGTGTTTACTGGTTTCACACAAGCAGAGAGCAGCGTTCTATCTTAATGGCTTTGGGAGACGGAAACCACCATGGCAGACAGGTAACCAACTGAGGGCACTGTGAGCATCAGCTTTCAATTCAGAAAATATTTTGGTTTATTGTTCTGTGTCTCTTTACTACAAAAAAAGTTCATGGATTATACTGGTATTTTGTTATAGACAAACTCTAGGCTTAAAAAAGTCACATGTAGCATTTCTTTCATTAGATTACACCAAAATTATTAAAATCACAAGAAAATATATAATTTCAAATTAAGAGAACCAAGATGCACAAGAACTGTACTACTTCCTACTTAAGTCCCAAGCATAGCAACACAAGGGTGTCAACACTAAAGGTACACATTAATGACTAAGAGAAATGTAAACTGTTGGCTTCATAAGTAAGCAGTTTATTGCTGGAGCTGAGTGTAAAATTTAAGACACTCTGCATTCATATTAGAGTTTGAGGTTGATATTGATAAAAATCCAACACACTTACGACACTTCCATCAGATTACTAGAACACTAGATTGCCCTAAATAAGTGTCTGATACTCAAAAAATAATTAACTAAGCAGACCACAGATGGTAGCATACATATAACATGCAAATAAAAGTTGTGAAGGGCTGTTATTGTAGTTTAGATTGGGGGGCTGTCATGTTGGTTTGTATTTTTTTTTACCCACATGCAGAATCACATGGAGAACCAGTGAGTTTTAATATTTAATTTAAAAAAGCAACAAGAATCTGATTTCTAAAAATTGCAGGACGTCAGTTGAACTTTCATGTTGATCTGAGGGGAGAAAGCAGACTGATCAGGAAAGAGTTGTTTGATGACAACTGATGACTGATTGAGTTCCTTACTTGAGAGTGTGAGAGGTAGCTTGGATCTGTAGGAGTTTGATTCAGACTGTACCCCAGAGGTCCAGGAGAATGGGATTGAGATCAGAGAGTGTTGGTATTTGCAAAAGACATCATGCTGGAGAGAGGGAATTCAGGTGATGAAGACTGGGAAATGCTGCACACAGGTAAGACCTTTTCCATAAAATACAGAGACAAACTGAGGTTCACTGGTTGTCTGGACTCATAACAGAATCCATAATAAAAAGAGATTCACAAGAAGAAGAATTTCAACAAGAAGAATATACCAGAAGATGAGAGGTGGGAAGCCCAAAAGTTCCAAAGAAGATTAGAGTCCAAAATAAAAGAATGAGGGATCCAAAACTAAGTCCATAACCCTCCCAAATGACCAGATACTATTATCCCGGCAACATGTATTCTTCACACAGCCAATGTCTCGGGTGGGTAGAAGAGGACTGGAATGAGAGCGAAGAGGACTAGGGAGGACAGGCTTTAATCAGAAAGACGTGTATAACAGGATTGAATCTTTAAATAATCCAACAGCTTGAGGCGAATCGTAGAGTGACAGAGCACCACCTGGATTCAAATGAACCAATGTGTTTGTAATAGCGTTTGCAATGATAAGCCTTTAAGTTAATGTCATGAGTTGAAAACCAAACCTTTTGTTCAGGTAAGTATTGGGAAGCAGGACTCCTTTTGCAATCACCCAGATGTGGACCGCAACAGACTGCTTCAAGGCAGAAACAATCAGGTTCCAGGGCCGTCTGCAGCGCCAAATGTGATGTTTCACAGAGGTAACTGCAACTTTTTGCTCATCAGATGAAAACAAGAGGGTGGATATCCCAGAGAGGACTCAAATGGACACAGACCAGTAGCAGAGGAAGTATGACACTTATGTGCACTTTCTACTCAAGCAACTGAGTGCTCATCAAGATGGGTGTGATGAACAGAGGCAGCGGGAGGATGCCTCAAGCTCCTTGTTAATGCGATCGGAGTTCCCAAATATTTTGGGATGAAAACCTGAAATGAGAGCTTTCTTGCCCCCTAAAGAAGTACAAAACCCTTTTCAGAACAGTGAGATAAATTGCACACCCCTGTCTGACAGGATTTCACAAGGGATTCCATGAGGCAAAAAACATGCTTAGTCAGAACCTGAGCTGTCTCAAGGGAGGATCGAAGTTGATGAAGAGGGATGATGTAGCAGGCTTTGGAGAAGTGGACGATTATATTGAGGATGGTGATACAACCCTTAGACAGTGGTAGTCGAGTAACAAAAACCAAGGTTATATGAGACCACAGACGTTTAGGAATAGGGAGTGGCTGAAGACCACTGGGAGGGTGGTGAGCTTTGTTGCAGGCATATACTGCATGGCTACAGTAGAACATAACTTTTAACATCCGTATTTATTGTAAGCCACCAGAAATTTTGTTTAAGGAGTGCAAGATTTTGGTTGATTTAAGGATGGCAGGAGGATTTAGCTGTGTGGGCCCAGTGAATAAAGCGGGACCTAATAGAAACATAAAAATGGTTCGGAGTTCCAGTGCCAGGGTCCGGTTCGAACCTCTGAGCCTCCAGAAATTGATCCTTTATTTCCCACGGTAGGAGATCTCTATCACCCACACCGTAGTTTTGTTCTGCTTGAGACAAGAAAGCACATGATTGAAGTTTATTATCGTCAGAGAAAATTTGAGAAAGGTCTGCACCCAACCCTATATCAGAAGCGTAACATTCAAGTGAAAGATGTTTCTCTGGATCTTGGCAAATCAGAATTGGGGCATTAATAAACCCTTTCTTGAGGTCCATAAAATACCTTTTAAATTCAGGTGACCAAATGGACGGCCTTTTGGAGAAGATAAGTCTGATGAAGGGTTGAGTATTTTGACTTTAGTTTTTAATCAATCTACTGTAGAAGTTGTTAAATACTAAAAAATTTAGCTGCTTGCGAGTTCAGTGAATAGGCAAATTGAGAATGGCTTTAACCTTCTCTGGTTAAAATAATCCAACATTATTATTATCTGGTTAACCTTCTCTGGTCTTTACCTGCCCGCTCTTGAGAATGTGTCCCAAAAAGAAGATTGACGTGGTATGGAACTCTCACTTCTTGGCTTTGACAAAGGATGGCTTCTCTAGAAGACTTTAGGAAGCTTGACACACATGGATCTTATTTTGGAGGTCCCAGAAAAAATTAGGATGTCTTCATTGTATACAAATACAAACGAATTTGGAAAAATCTCTAAGAACATAATTCACAAGGGACTGGAAGCTGCAGGTGTGTTCGTGAGGCTGAAAGGCATTACTAGATATTAAAATGACCTAGGAGGGGTCCAGAATGTCTTCTATTTGTCTCCTTCTCTGATTCGGACCTTGTGGTAATTGTATTGGAGATCCAACTTGGTGAAAAAATTTGAACCATGAACCGGTTCAAAATGTGCTGAGAGAAGATGAAGTGGATATTTATTTTTCACAATAATCTGGTGAATGCCACTGTAATCAATGCAAGGTCTTAGTGATCTCTCTTTTTTTCCCAAGAAGGTAAAAAAACAGGTCCAACAGTGGAGGCACAGGTGTGGAAAATTCCAGCAGCAAGCCACTCACTGTGTACTTGTCCATACTCTTTCACTTTCCTCTCAGAGATAAACAGGTCAAAGGAAATGTAAAATTTAAGCTCACCTTAAATTTGCTTCAGCCCTCAGCTGTAAGCAACCTCTCAATAATCTGTTTACAAAATAGATTTTTTTCCCTATCAAACGACAAAAACCTGGGGGATTGCCTGAAAACTAGTGAACATTGTAACATGAATCCAAGACACTTTCCAAATTCACATAAGGCTTTGGTGTGGGGAAATTGGCTAAATGAAAATGAGAAGTTGCGGGATGAAGTATTTCAGGAATGGCCGTTGCGCCAGCTGTAGAGGGGGTAGACCCCGCAATAGTGGTTCTGTTAACCAGCTCCTGGAACATTTCTGTAAACTGCTCCATCTGCTAATCTTAATCGTTTTGCTGTTCAGCAGAAGAGTGGATTGACGTTGCGGTGATGAAGTCACTCACGTCCAGTGCAAGGACCTGAGGGAGATTCTGCTAGGTCAGACTGGCCAGATGATTAGGTCGTGTTGGTTTGTAGTTTTTGACCCACATGCAGAATCAGACGAAGAACAGATGAGTTCTAAGGTTTTATTTACAAGAGCAAAAGAATCTGGAAGTCTGTTGAACATGGTTGGTCTGAGGGGAGAAAGCAGACTGATCAGGAAGGAGATGGCTGATGACAACTGAGGTCTGATAGAGTTCTTTACTTGAAAAAAGAAGGGGTTATAGCATGGATCTGTAGGGGAATGATTCAGCGGCCTTTGCAAACTGTACCACAGAGATCCAGGAGAATGTGAGTGAGATTCAAGAGTGTTGGTTCTTGCAAGAGATGTTGTGCAGGAGAGTGAGAAGGCAGGTGATGAAGCACACAGGTAAGACCTTTACCATGAAAATTGGAGACAAACTGAGGTTCACTGGTTGTCTGACTCAATAACGGAGGCCACATTGAAGGAGATTCACAAGAAGGCACATTTCAACAAGAAAGATGTGTCAGGTTTAGGTCTGGCTGGCAAATCTGAGATGATTCCTTCGCTTTCTTATATACGCTTGTCATCTTGATTGAGAAATATTCTCAGGTGTGTAGCCAAATGTGTCGGCCCAGCCACCAGCAAATATCCCCTCTGTGACAGAAAGCTCACTCACACCAGAATAACAGCAAAGTCCCAGAGACCCTAACGGGGG